AATACCATAAGTGATAAATTACTCGTCTCCTTAATTTGGGCGAGAATTTTAAGCGTTATTCACCATAACTAATAGTATGTTAATCACCCCTAGAGGCTTGAAAAAATAGCGAAAGAGTTGCTAGACATATAGCGAGGGGCTTATAGTTGATGCAGAAGGTATACCTTCTGCCGTCAGAAAGGATATTAAGAAACGTACTGGACTCGTGGGCTAAAACAGGGGAAAAGAGACGGAGAGGAAATGGAGAGGCCGACAAGGCACTCCGGCCGGCAAGGTCACGGAATGTAGTTCGATGCCATCAGCAATTTTCCAGCATTTTTGTGATATTAGTTCTCTTAATGATAATAATAATAATAATAATAATAATCTTAATAGTGATATTTATAATGATAATGCTAACAATATGCGTATCTTGCACAGTTTACAAATTGTGCTGTGTTGCGTTATTTTGGGTTGTTCGCGTTGCACAGTTAACGCCAAGGCGGGTTAAAGAACAATGAATCACAACATTAAGTTTAAGAGGATTCCCTGTAAATATATTGGTCATTCATTACCGCTACATCGTACAGGTGTACCATAATGCAATGTACATTAAGAATCGCCAATACTGAAGCATTGGATTTAGGGTGAGTTTCTTATGTATGTACGACAATGTTCTTTGATATGGGACGACTAGTAGAAATTTGACTAGTGCTCAGTCATATACGTCTGATACGTCTGCAGAAGTACTCTAACATTGTTTCTACTAGTCGGCTTGTGAACTAGCTCTTGGGTACAAGCAAAAGCGATCGTTGAGTACCTTATAATACTGATTCAATATGATTTGGTGTGGTCGAGTTGTGTCCACGTAAATTGATTACCATGAGGGATGAATAGTATAAAATGCTTGAAAGGGTAAGACTAAAGGCGTCAAGTGAATTGGTAGCAAGTACAATATTTGTTGTCATTAGCTGTCATTAGATTATCGCTAGTAATGTTTATTTATCCTTTTAGCATTCAGAGGTCTGCTCTATTTGTTTCGAAAGAATTTAAACTTGTACTGGATCCAGAGGCAGTCAATTCACAAGCATAAATTATTACCGTCTTTTGTAAGTGAGGATGCCAACACAAAGAGTGACGCTTGACACTAATTAGCTAACTGCGAAACAAAATGAAGGAACACTGTGGATATTTAAATGAACTCCATCTCTGGACTAAACTTTTACCGACTTTGTCGCAGTGAAGTGAAAATTGGTATTGGAATCAAAATCAAACATTAGATTGCCGGTTTGCGACTTTTCATACACGTGTAAGTGATAATTGACTCTAGAGAAACAAACAAAAGAATTAACAAAAATGGTTATCCCAAAGCCGAGATAAGGTTAACACTCGATTCAAGCAAGCAAAGGAAATTAAAATAAGCTGAAAATGCCCCTACGTCAACAAATTGAAGTTCAGTTCATCACTAAGTTACTTTTGCTTTAAGGAAACAAAGAAGGAACTCTTACCTTCGCTTGTATCGATGGCGCTTAAGTTGCGGGGGTTTATGGAATTTTGACTTCTTGAATTTTTAATGCATAACGTAGGAGAAGCTGAGTAGGTTGCTAAGAGTAGGATCTGAAATATTGGCGTAGCTTCAAAACCCAGTCTGCAAATCATTTCATTGATTGCACATAGCGCTATTACCTCTCCCTAATAACAAGAATAAATCAATCTTTCGTTTACTGGAACTTGTCGATATCGCTATTGCTAATGAGTGACGACAAAAAAACAATACACAGCACGGTACCGCCTCGCTATGGTCATTAGTCTTGAACAAAAAGAAAAATGCGATAAAAGATGAACACGTTTAAGAGGAAATTTACAAAAGCTTTGAATGCACATTGCCGAAAAAACATGCGAGTATGGGCTCAGTAAAAATCAACCTTACAGCTGGTCATGTGGGGTATAATCCATAATCTATATTCTATAAACAAAAAGTTATCACTGAAACTCAGTTAAATTATACAGCGATACTCACGCTGACGTCACCTAATGATGCTAATGTGCCAACTAAAAACGCATTGGTTCTTAAACCAAAAGATTGTTTTGTTTCACTCGTTACACATTTGAACTAACAAAAGAATGAATGAAAGATGATAAATTTTAAGCTCGTGGAAACAAATGGGAAAATGAAATAATCAGCATGTCACAAGCGTGGGACAAAGAAAAAATCTGAGTCCCTGACAGAATGTTTGAAAACAGCGAATGTCTCCTATATCACAGTACGTTTTGTTGTTAGGTAATATTCTCGAGGGGCAGTCGTGGGAAAATTGTGCATTTAGGCATCATTTTCAAGGCCCCACTGAAGTTTAGCATATATAAATTTGTATTCTGTACGTTTTAGGATCCTTTCATTTGTAGCTGTCGTAACGGGACGGGTGTTGTTTAGTTATGGTATGCAGTCTCTTGGGTGTTCTGTTTAGTGGGTATTTAAGGAGTGGTTTGTTCTTAGTTTTTTCCCTTGGCGTGTTATCAGCAATGATTTAGTTTACTTTTTTTGTTTTCGCTGATGATTCTTTTCTTTTCTTTTTAGCGTTGGGATTTTGGCCATTTAATGCGTTAAAGGACACTGTTTCTGACATTGATGTGGACATTGTGGAAACTGATGAGCTCTGATGAGTACCCGTTCATTATTCATTATTTGATTAGTGGGGCTTGGTTTGAGGGCTCCTCTGGTATGAAAGGCCGCCTGCTGAACAGCCTGTTAGTTATTGGGAGTCTACCATTAGTGCCCTCCGTTTTGTGCTTGATGTGATATCTAAAGGTCACAAGTTACCCTCCATTAGAGTTCCTGATCCATGTTTTATAAGAAATAAGCAAAGCTCCGTCCCAGCCCCAGCTTTGTTGGGGAAGCTATTTCCAAGCTATTGGTTGCTGACTGCATTGACGAGCATTTTGAGCTGCTTAACTGCGTGAATCCGTTGTCTGTAGCTGAGGGTAAAAAGTTAAGCTTGTCATTGACCTCCGGCATGTAAACCCTTGCCTTTTAACGCATTCGTTCAACTGGTACGGGGATTTGCATAGCAGTCTCAATTTTTTTAGCAGGACTTCTGATTTTGCAACTGGGATCTTGAGTCAGGGTACCATTAGGTAGATATTTTTAGCGGCAACAGAAGTTCTTGGGGTTTTCCTGGCCCTGTAGTGGTAGGGTTCGTTTTTTCATGTTCAAGGTCCTTCCATTTGGTTTAAGCTCTGCTTGTTTTTGTTTTACGACGTTGCGAAGGCCTTTAATTAAGCGTTTGCGTTCGAAAAGCCATTGTTGTTTTGTTTATTTGGACGACGCTATCTCGGGGCTTCCAGAAGGGGTTTCTGCGATTGCGGCTTGTTTGATGCAAATTGAGTGGCCTAAAATTGAACAAGGAGACTGAAATCGAAGTTGGAGCCTATGCAAGTCGGGCAGCGGTTAGGCTTCGTTATCGACTAGATTGGAATGCAGTTTCGAGTTCCTCCCAAGAAAATAGCCAAGCTTAAGAGCAATCTCAATTTCATTATTATCTCGCGTACCGTTACTTTTAGATCTCACTCGGGTGGCCGGTTTCATCAACTCGTTGTTGGCAGTTGGCCCTATCGCTAGGCTGTTTACCAGGCAGATTCATTCTACTATCCAAGCGCGATCCGGCTGAGATGCTTCGTTTCCTATTTCTGGACCTCTGTTGGAGGCCTTTAACGGATACAGGATTCAGCCAAAGTTCTCCCCCGGAGCAGTTATTTTCTGCGATGCCAGCGACTACGTTTCCAAGTTAAATTCAACAATCAGCCTGTCAGTGGTATTTTTACTCCGTTTGAGAGCCAGCAAGTTAGAATTTCAGGGAGGTCAAGGGCATTTTCTGTGTTATTCAAGCGCATGTTGTTCCACTGAGGAATTAGAAGGTCAAAGCGGTTTTCACTGATAATGAGAACGCTTCCAGAATTGCATCATTTGGCAGCCCCAAGCCGAAAATCTTCAGTCGTTAGCAAGATATGTTTTTCGCTTTGCTTAGAGAACGACATTCAGATCAATGCTCAGTGGATTCAGTGGATTCCCTCAAACTCAGAGCCGATCTTCACTGTCGTTTCCTTGATAAGGACGACTGATCTTTGAATTTGGCGGAGGTTTTCGCCCAGTTGGATTGCAAATGGGGTCCGCATTCCATTGACCGTTTTGCCTCTCACTAAAATGCTCAGGTTCCAAGATTTAATTCTAAGTGCATGTCTCCGGGCTGTAGTGCCGTCGATGCTTTTTTGCTGGATTGGCGAGGAGAGAATATTTGGCTTTGTCCTCCTGTTTCCTTGGTTGTGGATTTGATTAAACACGCACGTGAGTATTGCGCATTCGATCATATCTTTATCGCATGGTAGACTGCGCAATATAAGAAATAAACATTATTATTATTATTTGTGAGTACTGCGTAGTTGGTACACTTATCGTTCCTGAATGGCCGTCCGCCTTCTTCTGGCCTTTGTTGAAGCTACTTCCTTCTAGATTTGCCTCTTTTGTTGTGACCGTTGTTTATTTACCAGTGAGGTCTGATTTGATTATTCCCGGGCCCGACCAGAAGTTGTTTTAGAGAAGGAAGCCTTCTGTTTTCTTTCAATTGGTTATCCGAAATATACCATGCTGGCTTTGCGCGTAGATTTCAGGTTAGGAACGCCTGTTTTTTTTTTCATGTTACTCTATGTTCGTAGTATCTAGCCTGTGTACAGCTCGTATTTTTGCTGTTGTTACCGGGCGGAGTGCTTTTTTGCAACCACTTACGCTTATCTGGCCGCGTTTAGCTGGTATGCCGGCAGTTCGGCCATGGTGCTGACAAGTGCCGGTAGCCAATTTTTAGCTACCATTTTCGTGCAGGCGCTATATGTTGCTATTTGTTTCGCAGCAAGATGTTTATTGTGAGGTGTTAGTGGTAGCTGTAGTTATAACCTCATTTTATGACGAGCTTATGTTGGAGTCCAGCTCAGCTAACACGGTTCAGTAGTACAGCTGCGCTGGGAAGATTCGGAAGGCTTGGGCTCGATCTACGCTTGGTGTTCCTTTTGTTCTGACAATTCCACTTCAAGTTGCTCTTTATTTGATGGAGCTTGTCGACCGTGCAGTCCACGAGGGCCATTCTGTTTCCGTTATTGAGTCTGTCTGCTATAGTATCCGCTGGGGTGGAACCTCCGCAGGACCTCCGCTGGTGCATGGTCAGGGGCGTTGTCGAGGGTGCGCGGAGAAAATTGGCGGGAGCAGCCTTTGTCTCACGATCGGATTGTCGATATTACTTTAAGTTTGAACACTACTTCCTCATCCTGAGGGGACATTCTTTTTTTGTTCATCCTTTTAGTTGGCTTTCCTGTTAATCTTAGAGTTAAAGATATTACTATCTTTGAAGACTTCATGAAAATTAATTTGATTAAGCGTAAAAATGATCAGCACAGAGACGGGCACGTTTCAGTTTTCGAAAGGTCCTGCAAACCTACGTGCCCAGTAGGGATTACTGAGAGGTTGTTTTCTTAACCTGCGTTGCAGGCAACCCACGTATCGCGTAAACCATTTTTATAGTCCGTCTGACGCTGAAAACAGAGGGTTTCAGAGTGTCTGCGACGCAGGCTATTGTTTTCTTTACTGTTTGATACCAAGGACTCCTGGCCTGTTATCGCGTAGTACGTATGTTGAAGCCACCACAGGCAGCCCAAAAGCACTATGTTTGGGTTCGGGCTTCAGATATCATTTGGTCGGAATATACTAGAATTATTAGTTTATTATCTAATGCCAAATAAATGCAAAAATCTTAAAGGTACGAAGTCTTGTTGTTTGTCTATCTGTACTAGTAGCCTTTAAGATAACGAAGGTCGAGATTTCTTGCATTATTACTCGTGATTCGGGCCCTTATTGATCGAATTTCATCACATGTATTCGAATCTACAACGCTAAGAAAAAAATAATCATGATTACGTGAAATATTGATTCAAAAAGCTCCCTTACCTTTAGTTCATAGCCACTCTGTGTCCTACGGCCGGTTTAAACGCCGTTTATAGTCGACTTTCTTTCCATCGAGTACTGAACACTATAAAAGAAGTGTGTTCAGTACTCAGGTTCTCCAAGCAACAGTGTTCTCCATTCTTATGTTAATCTTTAGACCTCAGTAACAGCTGATTGTTATGGGTCTTATGAAAATTTAGTGCTCATATAAAGCCCTTGTGGAATTTGCCAGGTCCTTTTATTTACATGCTGAACCTTCAAGGGAAGGGATTCCTACATTTACACTCGTTATAAATTAGGTTTTCGAGCAAGGCCTGTCCATGAACTGCTTGTGACGGTTTATGGGGACCTTTCACCTTCTTTTTGCACAGTTTCCAGATGGATTCAACATTTCACTGATGGCAGAGAGAGCGTTGAAGGTGAAGCACGTGCTGGAGGCCACGGACGTTTGTGACCGACAGTTCTGTGGAGAGAGCCGAAGCAGTAATAGTAAAAGACCCAACTATAACACTCAGATTCTATCGTCCATGAGCAGCTTGGTCGGTTCAAGAGGTGCCGCGCTAGATGGATCCCTCACCCGTTGCGGACAACAGTAAGAATAAAGGGTGGCAATCTGCCGCAATTGGTTTCAAGTATTTGAACCAAAGGCCCTAAGAGGTTTTCTGATGTTATTACGGGTGAAGAGTGTTGGATTTCCTTCTTCACTATGAAAGATAAACGTTCTAACATGGTGTGGTTGGCCAAAGATGAACCACGCCCGGAGCTCCTGAAAACAGGTTTCCTTTCAAGAAGAGAATGTTCACCAATTTCTTCAAAACTCAGAGGCCTGTTGTTGACATCATGCCCGACAAAGCTACAATCACTGCCACATATTACACAACTTCAGTTTTACCACAATTTCTTCTTCATATTCAGTCAACAGTACGGACTTCACGTCGATCTCAAATCCAGTTGCATTAAGACAATGCAGCTGCTCACAAAGCTCGCATCACACTGACGTACCTTGATGACAATGCTATCCGTTTGATGGAACATTCACCATAATCACCCGACTTGTCTTCGTGCGATTTCTGGCTCTGTCCAAAAATCAAGTCAGCCCTTGCTCCTAAAGCTGTGCATTCATACCTGCTACAGAGTACCGAGAAGGCTTTTAGAATTTGGGATGAGGATGCAACGATGTATAGAAGTCGAGGGAAGCTACTTTGAGGGAATGTGACTGTACTTCTTGAAATTGCAGGTGAATCATGGGAGATATAGATTAAGTGACAGTACTTCTTGATCCGCCCTCGTTTGTTTCGGATTCTCGAGTGTATGGCACTCCAACGTTACGGGGTTCCAGTCTCTTGGCTCTGCGCTAATTGACTGACACGTCGGTTGGAAGAATCCTAAACCTACGTTTCGGTACCTTGTGCTTTTCTTGAGAATCTTGTCGAGATCACGCGCGCTATGAATATCTAGCTATTGTCGGCTTAGTGCTTCTAAGCCTTTAGCCTTTTTGTTTCATTTTCAGACTGAGCCAGGTAGGTCGAGAAGTGTTGTTCATAGGGCCGGGATTTTTGCACGTTGTTTCTGCTGTGAGCACGTTGGGGTTTTCCTTCCTATGGATGCTCGTCGGTGCTTTCCAAGTTTTAACTGTGTAGCTTATTTTCTTTTTGCGCATGTTTATTTCCGTGCGTTTTTGGTGGGATACTTACCTCAATACTTACTTACCTTGCTTTAGTATTACCCAGAATTTAGTTTGTTCAGGAACGAGCTGGAGTATCCAACCCCCGGGGAGTTAATGCTTCATTGAGGTGTGGTAAAGTACCTCTACCTGAAGTCTGCTATCACAGTACGTGGTCTTAAAAACCTGTCTTTAGAGACCAACGATTTTAACAGCTTTCGTCCCACAGCGGAACCTATCCTTTAGAAGACCTCTATTCAAGGGACAAAATTTGGTCCCGCAAAAATGTTCACATAATCTTTGCATTCGTCCCTTTTTTTAAGAGACACTTCTGTTCAGGGGAAAGGTACACATTTTTAGGGTCGCGAAACCCGGATTTGACCTCCATTCAGAACACCTTAGCACTCAAAAAGTGACTGACCACTAAAAAAACGAAAACTTTCAACACATGGATTATCTCACTTAAATTGATGTACTGCACGTGTGGGAATTCAACACACAACAACTTTGCTCGTGCATTACACTTTTTTTGTACATTTCTTAGCCGTCGTTGCAAGTCTGCGACTTGAAACTTCTTACTTACACGCGCCCGCTTTATAGAGTTGGTGAACACAGCACAAGAATTTTCTTTTCCTTTTTCTAAACTTAGAAACGGTCCTCTCGGATTCAACCCCAGACAATTTCGCCAAAGTTTTACAAATTAAATGAAACTGAATAAATCGATAAGGTTAGAAACAGTGGGCGGAATGAGCTTTTCGCTTTGTTGTCATCCAGAAATTTTGCTACCATGGCAATGTGACGTAACGGCTTCCTCTTTTCTATAGGTCGCGAGTTGCTCCTTTTGATCTCGTATTGAAACATTTCTTCCCCGCGCCCCCATTCGGTCAGTTCTTATGGATAATTTTGAACAGTTTGGCCGTTTGTTTTCTTGTTGTGTTTACTTATAATTCATTTGTGATCATATTTGTGGGCGACAATGTAAACTACTGGATTATCGGTAACGGTTTTACCCTTAGAAAGTTAATTTTTCCACTAGGTTATCCTCCCAAGTTAGTTGCAGTGTGGTACCCTGAAATTTTTAAAAGTGTACAACTCCCAAGTTTTACGTTTTAGTTTTCGAGATATTGAACTTTTAGCTGGTGTATCACATCCCAAAATAAGCACCAAAGTATAACTTTTTGTTGACATCCATAATTTGAAATGTTTTGATAATTTTTTTTGCTTTTTTAAGTTGGTCTGTCCGGCTGACCTTCCCTATGGTACTATTTAGCTACTTTATTTCATTCCGTTTTATATATTGTATCAAGCCATTCAATTACAATAAAAAAATTGCAAATTTAGTAACAACTTGCGAAAGAGCTCTTCAAAATGACCTCAAAACTAAAATAACGTAAAATGCTCAAATAAGCGAAAAGGCGCTCATTACTTCGAGTCGAGAGTGGGGTGAGGGCGCTTAAGAACTTGAGAAGGATTACCTGTAAACTGACGGGGAGTGAGGCAGCCTCGCCCGCAGGCGTTTTAGGGGAGAAGAAATACGATCTCCCCTAAAAACGCCTGCGGGAGAGGCTAGGGGTGAGGGTGGAGAGGTTAGCTCTGATCTGTTAAGGCTGGTTTTCATTAGCGACGGAGTCGGAGTCGTTATCAGAAGCGTAGAGCTTATGATCTACTGAAAACAGCGTTCAGATTCCGCTTACGACTCTGTCGCTTACATTCCGCTTATGATATAGTGAACACCAGATTGCCAGAGTCGGAAGCGGAAGCGGAAGAACTAAACCAATCACAAAGGGGGGAATGTGCATTGCGATTGGTTCATCCTTCCGCTTCTGCTTCCGACTTCGACAATCTGGTTTTCACTAGATCATAAGCGGAACGTAAGCGACTTAGTCATAAGCGGAATCGGAAGGAATGGAAACGTTCTGATTCTTCTGACTCCGATTACGTCGCGCTTATGACTCTGCTTACGACTCCAATTTTTGATTTTCACTAGGTCATAAGCGCTCTTACGACTCCGCTAATGACTCCGATTCAGACTCTGTCGCTAGTGAAACCCAGCCTTTAACCTTTTTCCTTTCTTTTTCAGCACTTTGACGATTGCATTCAATTTGAAGGTCAATATAAATCACTGAGCATTTATCTTGCTGCCTTTAGACCTGATAGGATATTATCTTACTTGAAATAAAACATTTTAAATACCGAGAAAATAAACTGTTTCTTCTATTCAGTCAAGAGGTATATTTGCAGCACAAATTGACATTATAATATTAAATAAACTCTGATCTCAGGTCATACAGAGAACAGTGAATTCACCCCCTGGTTTAGTCTTTTTATTCACTTTGAATACCTATACTGATTCTAGTATTTTAAAACAATCATGATTTTGCCTTGTTTATTGAAAAAAGAAACCATTTCTTACACAGATAACAAATTACAATATCTACACTACAACTATGATACTACTGTTATGCAAATATCTCGTCAAAAAATTAATTAAAAGACGAACCACTAAGAAAGCCAACACTTCAACAATTTTATGGATTACCACTCCCCTGATAAGACACAGCCCCGTTAAAAGGTTTTTGACGATAAGTATAGAAGTGTACGGAGAACAACCTGACAGACTGACCTGTCATTGTCTCTAACAATGCCATCAGAATAAGACAAAGATACTGACAGTCACCAATTTTTGGTGTTGCACTTATGACACAGTTATGTTAGGTATTTGCAGAAGACGTCATGTCAGATGTAACTGCAACTGCTTGTAGTTAAAATAGAGATTTTGAAGTACTTGCTTCTTCTTCTTACAAAGTCTCGGTTTTTAGCTGAGATAGAACTTGGATGATTTAGATTACCGAGTTGTACCAAGTTTTCTTTCCTATAATCCTCGTAGATGAATGCGGCGTTTATTAGTAATTTTACGGCAGTTTAATCGAGTAAACAGGATATACATGTGCAAATTGTTTCTACTAGAAACACTGGATTGTTTTCATTTCCTGTCAAGGTAAATCAAGGTTGTATTCCATAAAAAGAATAATGCTCAATGTATCATGATATTACATTACGGGATAATTCATTTATTGTTCAGATTCATTAGAAACTTAAAGAAAGATGAAATTAGAGTTTGGAAAACCTCAACTATCTAATTAATTATGAACAACCGAATTTAAACATCTCCATCGAAATTACACGGTAACCCTTGAGATATGTGAATTTCACCAGTTATTTTTAGGCCAATTGAACGCTTGAAAATAATCGGAAGTTGGTTTGCGGAGAGGTCCGCATACTTTTATTCAATGGTGTCAAGAAAGAATAATGGGTCAGTAAGCTGTCTTGGTGTGCTGTCGCTACAATATTCTGCATTGTTTACTTTGAGGCAGTTGCGCAAGAAATTAGACTTCCATTTAATTACAACCTCTAAAAATAACTGAGGTGAAATCCCCATATCCTGGCCAACGCCCTAAGATTCCCTCTCTGTCCATTTAACATTTCCATCCCAATACAGCTCCAGAAAGGAGCCTCTCAGCTCAGTTTTGAAAATCACCTTGGTGGTCTAACTACAATAAAAATTATTCATTCAAAATATTTCTCTGATTCTGATTGACTCAAATCCCCCGGCTAATTCTTCATAACTAGCTCCCAATAACCAAATTTGGAACACACTTACGAATCCAGCAAAAAGACGACAAAGCGGCAGAATCTCACCTTCTTAAGAACATTACAATAAAAATAATTCATTTAAAATATTTCTCTGATTCTGATTGGCTCAAATCCCCTTGCTAATTCTTCATAACAAGCTGGCAATAACCACATTTGGAACACATTTGCGACATCCAACAAAAAGACGACAAAACTGGATAAGCTCGCCAGAAACAGGCATGACAACCGAACATTTCTGGGAAAGAGGTTGTGTTTGCTCAGCTGTTTTGGTAGAGCTGGAGAAAATGGCAGAAAAATTTAAACGTTTTCCAAACAAGAAATATAGCAGAATTGAAAGAATAACTGCTAGACTAGGTAATCTCTTTGTATCCAGAATTTGCTGAGGAACATTGATCAAGGTAAGCAGGCATGTTTTCAAAGTAAGAATTATTGTTGTGAATGAATAATAAAACACATTATTGGATTTGGCTATCGTATGATCTGAAGAATTGTGCAGATCTTGGATGGTATTATCCACCTTGGCCTGACAGCACTCAGCCTCATTCAATAACAAAATTATTGCTAATTAAAGTACGTCCTGATAAAGTTCAACTCAACAAGCTAAACATTGTACTGCACTTACTTGTCTCCATCAAAAGAAGAGTTATCATTATTAATTTTATGGCTAATCAAATGCCTACATATTATCTGCTGCACAGACTTCATTTTTTGAACTTAGAAACTAGCAAAACTACTAATTGTCAGTTGCATGTCTGACGACTCTTTGCCCATAGAAAGAATTATTCAAGCAATGGTTTAAATACTCATGGTCTCCCTGGATGCCAGCAAATATTAATTTTGTTAATAACAATTATTAATATGTTATTGATATTTCGTATACTGAAGAAAAGCAACTGAATACACAAATCAATGCAAATATTGCCATTTAACTGGTAAGTTAATAATAAACCCTGTTTGTGGTATGACAAAACGATCAGCCGGCAACTGGGCACACAACACAAGCTGTCAATCTGCAATACCATGAATAATTATCATAAAATAGAATGAGACTTCGTGACATGTCCTTCATGAAGGCTTTTCAGATTTGAGGAATGGTTTGACTTTAGCTAACAAGGAATCCAATTCCCACTGCACTATACTTCACAAAGAGATATCTACATCCTGATGGTGATTATTGCTGATAAAGACCAACATCTCATAAAAATGTTCCACCATTCCTGCAGGTCATAGGCCAAACATTTCTTGAGAAGCGTAAACCATGTATAGGAATCCATCTTCATCCTTTTCCTCCTTGTAAACTTCAGCCATTGTCATGGACATACTTGCTAAACTTTTGTTGTTGACAATAAGGTAAAATGCTTGTGTTGATGATAATGACATGCGATTCCTGATGACCAAAAAAAATTGTTGTGTATAACCATAAAGTAGAAAATATTATTTTAACATTCCCTCGTAAGGTCATCGCTAAATGCATGGTGGGCTGTTCAAGATTATTTTTATTCCCCATTTAAGTAAATGTAAGGAACGTTAAATCACACCAGAAGATAAATCACACATGGAGCTAAGTTCACTGACACAAATTGAAAATCCCCGGATGTGGAGCATTGCAGGGTTATTGACAAAAATGAGAATTGGGTGACTTTAAGAATGCTACTTCATGGTTTATTCAAAATGGCATGAAACCAAACCCAGATAAATATCAGGCTACGGTACTTGGCAACTGAACTTTAAATTAGCTGATATTGACTTTAAAATCACAGACTTGTCTTCTGGGAGTTGTCCTTGATAATGAATTAAAATTTGACGATCACATTTCAAGTATTTGTCGCAAAGTAAGTGCTCAGATAAGTGCTCTGAACAGATTGAAGAACATTTTGCCACTTACAACCAACAAATCGCTTTATCGCTCATTTATACTGCCATATTGTAACCAAGTCTGGCACCACTACAGAAAAAGAAACACTGCTAAAATCGAGAAAGTCAACGAAAGGGCTTTGAGGTACATCTTCTAAGATAAAAGTGCATCTTATCAAGATCTCTTGGAAAGAATAAGACTCCCATCCATTGAAACTCAAAGAATCCAAGACATGCTATCAACAACAAAAAGTAGTACCATAAAATTCCGAACATAAGCCCTGGGGCTTATATTTTTCAAACGCCCTTTTTGAGGGACTTATTTTTTCGACGGGCTTATGTATGGAGGGTAATTTGTGTTTCAAAGTCGATTGGGCTACAATTGCTTGTAGTGGGAAGGAAATTTACTATTTTTGCTTTGTTTTACTTTGTATTCGAGAGCAAATTCCAAGTACAAGCTTCCTGGGGGGCTTATTTTCGGAGGGGCGATTTAACAGAAGGTTTTTTGCATTTCGATTTTGACAGGCTTATACATGGAGTGGCTTACTTTTGGAATTTTATGGTACAGTCGACTCCCGATAACTCAACCCTTGCTAACTCGAACCTCGCGCTAACTCGAACCAAAATCGATTTCCCTTGGATTTCCGTCATACATTTACTGTAATTTTACCCTCGGTAACTCGAACCCTCAATAACTGGAAGTCATGCTAACTCAAACCAATTTTCGTTTCCCCTCAGGTCATTTTCTATTTAATTTTACCCTCAATAACTTGAACCACATTTTGAGCCCTTAAAAAGTCGGGAAAAAAGCCGTCTACTGGCGTCCGAAACATTGAATTTTGGATTTCCTGTTAACGTGTTGTAGGAGTGTAGTTTACTAATGGAGGCTCATGTTGATTGTCACAGGCTAACGTGAAGCAGCTTTACTTCTCAAAACAGTAAAACGCATGCTCTATTTAGGCTATGTTTGGTTACGTTACGTTCTGATTTAAAATCTAGAAGTATCTTTTAATTTTCACTTGACATTTCTACAATTAAATGTGATTAAAATGTTCACTGTGCAGTAAAAACCGTTTTTTTACCTTACTCTTGGCTATTTTCTTCGAACTCCCGATAACTTGAACTTTTTTCGATTTCCCTTGAAGGTTTGAGTTATCGGGAGTTGACTGTATTTCAGACAAAGCTCCACCCGCAATTAGAAATCTTGTCACCTAACACTCATCCAGGTACAATGTTTGACATGATTATATCCTTTCATTGCCTAAAGTTAACACAACTAAATAAATTCTGGTCTCAAATCAGGGAGACTTAGAGCCAGGCACACAGGGTAAAAATAAGCATAATGACCCCATCTTTTTACCACAGATTTTCAATGTCTGTTACATGGCTGTCACTTGTCATTTAGTGGAAACAAAAACTATATTTCGACACTGGAATGCAACATATTCAAGTCCTATAGATGCAACTGCATTTTCTGGTCAGTTCAAAATGTTAAGATTGGTTTAAGATTAAGATTTTGATTATACTGCTACGATTTGATTAAAAAGCTAAGAAGTTATGACAGTTTTAATTTTAAAATGTATGAGAAAATGAGAACTATAACTACTAAGTGGATTATTTTGAATGACTTCACAAACAGCAAATTCAGACTGATGGCAAGTGCCTGTGCAGATTTTGTGGTTCCAGAACATATCCATGCCCCCCTCCCCGGAAGATCGTTGGAAATTCTGAAGAGGAGGGTTCAAAGGCAGTAAATATTTCCAAGGAGTACAGGGGTTTGTGAGAAACTACTTTTCCAAAGGGTGACGAACCACTCACAAAACATTGAAAGCAATGTATGAGTGATCTGAAGAACCAAAACATACTTATGTACATTGTTATGAAACAAAAGTTGGTACTCCGGGCCATAGAGATGAGCTTTAACGTTTCTGCTTTTTTTTTTAGTTAGCTAGCGCTACAATCTCCAGAAGAACAATGTGTCTTTGGAACGAAGTCAAAACGATTTAAAATGGCGGACATAACTGGAGTCTTGTCTTCATCTCGTTTTCGTCTGACCAACACTAAAGTGCTTTCACTTCTCTTCACTGAGTATCTTTTTTTGCCACCTTTACATGTAGGAAACACATTTTTGATAGGTTTCATGTTTTATCCATGTTTATTGGGGGTAGTATAACTCATAAACAATATAATAAGACAAGAGTACTTTCAATCCCATTTCTTGCTTGACCTTCACAAGGCCTGGCTTATTGGCCAGTAAAATTACTTCTGCAATCGTGACAATGTTCACGAAACCTACCATGTTGGTATGTGTTAGTGAAGTTTTAGGCCCTTAAATAAGAATCACCCGGAAGAAACTGACAAAATGTGTAGAAAAATACACAGCCAGAAAGGAACCTTGTAAGTTTCTGGGTTTTTTTGGTATCGTTTGCAAAGTTGTTTAAGCAGGTGAAACTTAAGTTCTCTTCACAGCCTTCGTGTCAGAGTAAGCACAAAAACCTGGAACAATCGACATTTAAACTTTGCAACCAAATGTTTAAGCTTATAAGCTTACATAAAAACAACACAGACATAATTTGCAAACGTGATGGCGAAGAAGCTAAAAGTTTGGCTGAATAATAAGCTTAACAAAAGTTTACACTGCATTATTGTAATAAAATTCTACCATATTTTCGTAACTGAGTTAGCATTCACTTTCTTTGTTTTTAAGTGCCCAAACCACTTTGAATTTCTAAAGGGTGGTAAGCGAAGTTCCCGTTTAAAAATTCTGTAAATTCCTGGGGGGAGGAGGGGTCATCAAGGACCCCCTGGAACGGGAAAATCCTGAGGGGTGAGGGGGGGGGAGGTGCAAATCAAAGAGTCTTCCATGGGGGGGGGGGTATGGATATTTTCTGGAACCACACATTAGAAGTCGCTATACACGTACACAACGCGACTGCTATGATGAATGGTTTTGTTTTGCAAGCACATGGTTTTTGATGGACATTCGGTTTTCGTGAAACCACTGCCTGAATGTAGTTGATCGTAGTTGGTACGTTTGGTCTTTTTTTGTACAGACTACTCACTGCCAGTAAGCACATGCCCTCTTCTGGGACTATTTTGACCCTTGTAGGTGAACATTAGTCAAACATACCATCACCTTCCTTTAACCTCTGATGAGGGATTTAGATCAGAAGAATCAGAAGTTTAGGAATTCAGAGATATGTGTTTAAAGGGGCACAAGCATGCACATACCACAAAGAAGAGCACCATCTTGCAGGAGATCTAGAGATCCTGAGAGATGGTGAAGAAAAGTTGTTGTTGAATAGACAACCTCAAGCCTTTAGTTGAATATCTGAAATGGCTAAGAGGGTAGGAAAATACATGTAAAGTTCCGAAAGTACTGTAACAACCCCCTGAAAGTAGCAATAAAATTTCAGGGGTTTTGACAACTACCAGAAGTAGCAACCCCTCGAAAATAATGACCCTTCAAAAGCAGTGAGCTTAAAACTTATTTTTTCTTTGTGCAAGAAATAACAGAAATGAAAGGTATAAGAAGCTTTTCTGTACTGATCCGCAGATCAACAATGTCTGTACTGTTTATTGTGAACCTATCAATCTAACAATGCAGATGGGAGCGGGTGGTAGAAAAAAATACACCACAAAAAAAAATGTTTACAATATTTTTTTTTTTTTTATAAAAAAAAAAAAAAAAAAAAAGAAGAAAAATGTCTTTTTTCACTCCCACACAAAAAAACACTGTTTTTTTTTTTGTTTTTGTGACACCCAAACAAAAAAAGAGGGGGGGGGGGGGGGGGGGGGGGGTTAAGATATGGAAGCAGTCCACACTATGGTTTGGATATTTTCTGGAATTGCCCAGTAGAGGCAGGCAGAGAGACATTGCCCGCATTAGAGCAAGTAGAGCTATTGTTATCGTTTCTGCTAGTAGAACCACCAGCTCATTAACATTTAAGTTGTTCACTTCAGGGCTCAAAGTTAACACTTGCAAACTCGCAAAATGCGAGTGATTTTGATAATCTGCGAGTGAAAATATATCTAGAATATCCACTAGCAAAACGTTCTCATGTTAGAATCATCCATGTCTCCCAAACAAGGGGAAAAAACTTGCTATCCTCATATTACACACATGCCATTTTCCTACAGTCCACAGTCTCCCTCACCCCTCACCCAAACACAAAGATCTAAGGATTTAAACTGTGTATGTGGTGGCAATTAGGGTTGACAATTTTCATTAAATATCCCAATATTGTTACTTTTTACAAACAAAGTAAAATAATAAAGAGGTATTGTTCAGTTCTGGACTTCTTGCCAATGATAATAATTATTTTGTCTGACAGGTCATCAAGCCCAAACCTGATCAATGCAGAATGACTTATAAATGCCCAAAGAAGACAAATAATATTTTCAAAGTAAAACCAAACACAGATTAGTTAATTTGGTCTAGCAGTGAAAGGGTTAATCAATTCAACAACAGAGTAGAGTCAGTATTTTTAAATGCACATTTTACCAAACTTTTATGGTACACTAGGCACCTGGTTTAGCTGGGGTTGGAAGTTGATATTTCAGTGACTTGAGGATTCACCTTCACGTTTAATTTCTTTCTAGTTTTTTTAAAGCCAGAAATTTGCATTGCTGGCTGGCAAGTTGCTAGTTAAATAAGACTGATATAATCACACAAGAACCTGCACACAAAGAATCGGCTCGAGCAAGTTTTTCAGTTAAACTATGGCTTTTAAACTCCTCACCTTATAATAGTGACGAACTGGCTCATTGTCAGCTCTTGTGGGACGAGAAATTTTGTCTTGTCGAGTAATGGGAGATCTTTTTCTTTGTGATATCTTTCAACTATAACCTACAGTGAGATAAGGATATTCTTTTTATTTTTACATGAACATTTTGTATTAATTGAGAAAACACAACAAACTTGGACCAAATATAAGTTAAGTACATTGCAATAGAAATAGACAATGTTTGCTTAAGTAGTGGAAGTAACAAAGCACAATTCTTACTGGTATTTTCGATGGAAACTTTGCTCTAATCCCTGCCACCTCATCTCTTCTACTTACTGAAATGACAGAAAGAGCAGCGTTCATGAACGTGCTTTCGTACGCAACAACAACAAAGCTGCCATATGTAAATAAGTCTTATAACGCTTTTTCACAACACAATGGCTCACCAAAGCTTTTTCGCTGTTTGAACGGTTTTGCAGATTTTGCGTCGTTATCACCCATATTCATGGAATAAGTCACACTGGAATAAGCCTAAAATTAATTTGTTAACCACGTCCGTACACGATCACACTTCAGCAGACCAAAAAAGATTCCTCTTTCGCAACTATCCAGTTGGCAACTAACCAATCACAAGCCTTGTTAGATCGCCAGCGGAGGAGCCCAGTCCCTTGACTGCTCTGCGTGGTTCGGCAGGTTTGTCGACTTTCAGCTTGCGACAGAAAACATTTGTGACGTCACGTTACCATGGTAGCACTGTTAGTGGATGACAGCAAAACCAACGACGACGGCGACGAAGGAGATCGGCAAAAAAATGATACGTTTATATTAACAAACAACAACTTCCCACGTGCATCACGCTATTTTGAACATTTCTTTGCCGTCGTTGCACCACTCACATGAAACTTCCTAATTTCACGAGCCCGCTTCATGGAGTAGGTTAACACAACACAAAAATTGTCCCTTTCATTTTCCAAACTTATGTATCGGTCAAATCGAAGCTTCAACATGCCCCCCCGGGCATACCCCGGGCATTTGACACCTTTGCCGTCCCGGGGAGGAGGGAATTTGATTATCAGAGTCTTCCAGTGGGTGGGGAATTTGATCCCCATGCTTTAGGGGTGGGGAATTTGAACTCCACCCTCGATTTCATGTAAAATCTTTGGCGTGGCGAGCTATCATGGGGGACACGGTGTTATTGTGCCTTTGTGGCCAATTGGTTACGAGGAAAGGGCCTAAACAAGCTTTGTGCCGTATTTGAAGTATTTAAATTTTAAAATTTTTAATATTGGATTCAGGCTTTGGATGTATCAATGTATTTTATTGTTGTGTTTACAATGAAATACAATACCTATATCGGCGATTCAATGCAACAACATAAAATAAAATAAAACGGTCAACAACTTTGACCTACTGCAAGAATGTTAATTAATAAGGTGAGCGATGATGCATGTCAGTGAAATGGTCATGATGTAGTAATCTCAATAGGTGGGATCTTTTTTCATAGAACGCTTTGTATGTTGCATGACGAAGAAAAGCTGAGCATTCAGTGACCTTGTAGCAGCGATTTCCGCCGCTTTGCACGAGACTTTTGTTCGTAGTAAATACGCTAACAGTGTTGCTCAGTTTTTGTTATATTCATAAAGATTTTGTTCGACAACTGAAGGCGTTTCCGTCGTCCTTCCGTCATTTTTGTGCCTGTGAAATGTCCCCGGGGTGGGGGCATTTGATCACCTGAATGGACCCTAGTGTGGGGCATTTGAACGGCATTTTGGCCCGGGTAGGGGGGAATTTGAACAATAATTTTCAAAAAAGTCAAATGCCCGGGGGGTTGCCCGGGGGGGGCATGTTGAAGCTTCGATTTGACCGATACATTACTAGTAGATAACGTTAGATATGGTCCCAAAGAAAATTTCGCCAAGATTTGCCAAATTAGGTGATTCGCTGGTTTTGCACGGCGCATCTCTTACTGCGCATAACAAGATGGCCGCCGTAAATAACATTATTAAAATGAAGTTTACTGAAGAGAAAAGCTACTGGAATTTTTGCTTCCGGTCGTTTCTTATGAGACTCAATGTGTTGGGAATGTCCATAACGGAAGCAGTACGCGTGTTGCTGAGTTCGACTTCCTGCTCACTTTGATTATCATTTAAACGCTCTTTCTATCACATTGTGCCCTAATGTGATATATCGATGTAAATTCTGTAAAAATGGATTTTTTGATACTTTCTTCCCCTTTCACGTAGATGCCATTTTTGAAACTCACCCCAGTGCTCTCTCAAAAATCGGAGAAAATGCATTTGGTGCCCACTTCCTGCAGCTCGCTACCGGGAAAACGAGTACTGTGACCCCCATTTTTTATTTCATGATTTTACAGTAATAAGGACAGTGCTTTCTTTCGATGAGAACAAAAACTGCACAAATCTATGTTCAGTTTTACGGCAATTTTACTAAATTGTACGGATTGAGCTATCACTGGTCGAATAGCACGTGTCCAATTTAATTTTACTTTGGAGCGTAAAGTAAAAACAAGGGCATTACTGCGCTTTCCACAAACATGCGAACTCTCAAGTTCAAAAGCCGCCTGCACAATTGCGTTTTTCGCTACCGTCAATCATAGTTACGATCACAGGCAACGAACCTTGAAAAACACAAACACACAAAATGGATCGAAATCCACCAATCACAAATCACAAACCATGATCTTTTGAACCCGTTAAAATAAAGTTTTGTTTGCGTAAAGATCCGTTAAGATGATTCACGGCAGCGAAAACGCAGTTGTGAAGGCGGCTTTTGAACTTCAGAATTCGCATGTTTGTGAAAAGCGCAGTAAAAGGCATTTTTCTGGTACGTAAGTGGATAAACGATACATTAAGGTCAATTTCTGTGCGATACCACATGCATCATCCGAAAAACCTCTCTTTTTTGTCTAATTTTGGGCTGTGCGCGGTTTTTGTCAAAGGGTCCTAAATAGCTGCACGGTGACCTTCACTTTTTATTACTTTTTTAAATCATATTTTTGACTTGTTACATCAGTGTACCAAGTTTCATCTACAATGTATGTTAGGTTCTTTTACTAAGGAATCACCTTGAATGAAATTGAATAAGATCGGTGAAGTCTGAAATAGTGCGAATGGACTTTTAAGTGACGTTTTCGGTTTTTTGTCATCCAAAAATTTTGCTACAATTCCAACGTGACGTAACGACTTCTCCTCTCTGTTAGTGTTGCCTATTGATAACAAAACAAACAAACAAGAAAAACCTTTTTGGTCTGCACCTGATGAAAAAAAAAATCAGGCTTAAACGGGATTCAAACCAATTACATCTGGCAGTGTTTTATTATTCGCCACTTGCACATCTCCAATAATGCACCTTATTTGGCCCCCCAAATTTTGCATAAGCATTGTTTTCAATTTCTCTTGGGACGGCTGTTGTATCCAGGAAAGAAATGAAAACCAAAGGTCATGCAAAATTTTTTTTGGGGGGGGTGGGAGGGGGGGGCAAATAACGTGCATTAAGGGAGATGTGCAAGTGGCGAATCTTATCAATAATCATCCAAGTTAGGGCTGGTCATATAGACCATATTACCTGATATGGTGTCAGATAAATGGCTATTTTTTTTCCTCCAAATTGCAGGAACCAATATATTCATGAGCATCCACGAGGTGATTGCAAATCCCAAGTTTATGGCAGGTGAATAATTGTTTTAAAGTCACTTCAGTCTCCGTGATAGAAAATGATTCAGTTTTTGGGCCGCATCTCAATGATCACCGTCAACCTGGTCGTTCAAATGTAAGTTGAGTTTGTCATTGGTTTTGCCCCAACTCGGAAAGCTTCCTTCTTGTATCTCAAAGGTTCCCCCACTCCGACTAAAAGTAACACTGTTTCCAAATTCCATTTGCCCAGGGATTCGTGTGCAAAAATACAAATTAAATCCGGTTTTGACACCGTGAAAACAAACGAAAAAGGCCTTTTGAACTAATTTCATAGTTGATTTTCGAAAAAAAAAGTGTAGTTTTCCCAGCCAAGATTACTTTTCAATCAACTCTTCTGTCCTTCCTTTGAACAAAAACAATTTTTAATTTGGAGCATTTTTTTTTCACAAGAACCTAATTAATTAATTCGGGAGCTATTCAACAAATCGCAAACCAGTTAAAAAATATGAGAAGACTTATCAGTTCAGACGCAAACAAAAGAGACACTTGGGTATGCTATCAACTTTTATTTCAAAAATCTCCGCCAGAAATTGATGATACGTCACCAAACGTATCCTGATCAACAGAAAGATGACCGCCGCCGGCTTCACTTACTAGCGAGCTCTCGTCATTTACATTGTAGTTATCAACAGATGGTAATGTCACACTTATTTTATGTTGAGGCTCATTTCCTTCTTGTTCTTGTTTAGCAGCCCCACTACTTTCCTCCCGGATGTCCATTCTGTTTTGTTCGCTTGTTTCTGGCTCTTTCTCCTTACTAGCGACATTAAATACTAAGGCTCCTTCGCGCTTTTCAACTGAGTAAGTGTTTTGAAAACTCGCCTCTCCTGATAGTTCACCTTCGCTTCTTTCAAAGAGAATGGCTCCCGGTTTTGGGTGCTCTTGCTGTTGTTTTGCACTAGTGAAAGATGATAACTCTGTGCCAAGCGTTCCCGGAAGTAGGTCGGAGGCGTGAAGAGAGCGGTCGTCCTGATTCGGCGCTCCGTCAAATGTTTTTTGGGGGTCGATTTGTGCGATTGTACTATTGGTCTTTGTTAAACCCACAGGCCGGTCAACCGCTTGCAATTCGCCGGGAAAAGGTGCAGAAGACATTTTCATTGCACCTGGAGGCTCCCATGAAGCTACCTCACCTGGAGAGAGATTCCCAGGGACTGAAATTGAAAAAGACAAATTCGAGTGAAAAGAACATAAGCTAACAAATACCTGAATTTGGGTAGCAAAACCACGCTTGTTCCTCAGACGTCATTTCGCGGGCAAACCAATGGCCGATAGCGTCGGCTGTTTACCCAGGCTTACATACATGCATACTGATTTCACTGCGGATCCTTCTCTCTGTTTACCCAGAGAGAAAAGCATAGTTCTAAGGAACAAGGTGTTTGTCTATACAAATTATTTGTAGCAGTTATCCTTTTTAAATACTAACCTATTTCACCAGGCTCCCTTTCACCACCGTTTTTTTGACCTTGATAAGGCATGCGCTGATGCTCTGGTAACAACTCTCCTTCACTGGCGCTGTTGTCCGCCGCCGGCGGCCGACTAAAATTCTGAATGTGGCTCAAAAGTACAGCCATTGGATCGCGAGTGGATCGTATTTCGCCTGGTTCTCTGTCACTAAAGTCGGTGATGGAGTCCTAGGAATGAAACAGATAATTGCTAACCTGTCTTTTCTAACACTTGAAAAGAGAACGAAACAAGAACGTTTTGCACTCAACCTCTTTAATATCCTCAGTGTCTTTCAAAGTGCTGGCAGAGCTGACATGATACGGGGAATCACTAACACTGCTGCCACTGTCA